GGATAACCAGCTGCAGCTAAATTCATTTGGACAAAGTGGATTCTAATGGATGGATCTCATGAAAATAAATCTTACTTTTTGGTGATATCCATCTGCATCTTCTGTGAACGCCTCTTCTGGGGAAAACTGTAACCAGCGCTTCGCCTACACGCCCACATGACAGCTTTTCTTCAAAACACATCAACAATAACCCTGCAATGTTATGGAGACGAATGTGTCCAGTCTTCAATGAGCTGTCAGTGATTTCAGGCCAAAATCTCAACAGGGCTGTGGAGAGTAATCTGATCAGGTTTTTATGGCTACTGTTGACTGAGTCAGGCCTTTCCCATTAAAACTAGTGTGTGCGTGTGTGTGTGTGTGTGTGTGTGCGTGTGTGTGTGGAGAGGGCGCAGTGTGTGGACCGATAGTGAATATGCCTGTGTGTCCATATACAATGTGTCTTTGTGAGTCCCTGGCTTTGCGTTGGAGAAAAAGATCTGGCTGTTACTAGAGCGAGAGAGAGAGCGAGAGAGAGAGAGAGACAGAGAGACAGAGAGAGAGATAGTGGTTGGGGGTCTTCCCTTTCTCCACAACATCTTTTCCATGTGTCTCTGTCCCTTGCTTTGTTCCAATTTTAACTTCTCTTTTCCCCCTTTTGTCTCTTTTCTTATCAACAGGCCATTATAAGTCCTCCTTTTTTCTGAGTGTACTCTTATCTCTTCCTCCCTCCCGATACCTCGTCTTTCTTTCTTGCTTTCTTACTTAGGCACATTGTTTCAAACACTTAGATCACTGCATATGAAAAAGATGGAACAAATAATTACATTAACTTCCTTGAACACACGATGTTGATTAGATCTCACATTCATTCCAGTTAATTTTATTTTCCCATGAATGTAAACTATCTCTGTTCCTTTCATTCTCTTCTACCTATCTTTTTGTGTATCTTTTTGTTATTATTAAATGATACTTCCTTTAGCTCTGCTAGTCCTCTTTTGCTCCCTTTCTTCTCTCAGCTTTGCCTCCTTCTTTTGTGGTCCTATGAAAGGGGGAAGTGGGCGGGTAAACTCATAATATTAAAATGCAATCAGCAATAAGTAACATGCAATGTTCTGCTAGCAGCTCTGTGAGGCTGCATTTGTTATGCACAGCGGTGCTTTGAGCTAAATGCTAACATCAGCATGTTTAGCAGGCATAATGTTTATCATGTTCCCCCTCTTAGTTTAGCATGTTAGCATGCTAACTATTTTGCTACATTTGCTAAAAAGCACTAAACACAAAGTAAAGCTGAAGCTGATGGGAATGGTTTTCAGTACATACGACTAAAAACAGAAATGTTGACCTGCTGCTGACGCTACAGAAAAAGTGAAGCAATCTTTAAGCTGATTAGCCTTCATCCTCCAGAAATCATGAATCTCTTTACATCAAGTGGATGTTGATAAAATCAAATCAAGTGGATGTTGAGATTTTTCTCACGTTAAGTGAAATCTTTGAACTGCTGGTGGTGCTAGAGAATCACAAAAGTCATGTAGGTTCATTCTCTTGGGACCATGATTGTCTGTACAAAATGTCATGGCAATCCATCCAGTAATCTTTCAGTCTGGACCAAAGTGGTGGACTGACCGACTGACATTGTTATCCACAGAGCCATTCTGTTATCATGACTAAAACCCCCCCGTCATGCAAACACAGACATACACAGTAACTAAGTTTTGATGTGAACGCAGCTGTGATAGATCTCCGGTCATAAAGCACAGGACCAAAGCATTCTCATGAGATCTTGATCTTATTCTGTTACAGTTACAAAACCAACATCTGCAAGCACGAGAGATCTGACTGGACTGTTGTCAGAAATGCACTGGGAAGCCAAACCATTCGATAAAAATATGAAGTTGATTCTGAGGGGAGAGACAAACCGAGAGCAGCCTGCTGATCTACATTTACTGCCGTTGCAGAATAGAAAATCTTTTGTTGCCCGACTGCACATTTATTCGGATGAGCAACCATGTACTATAGGTCCCAGTGACCAATGGGAGCAGGACACCTGTTGGAATGAGAGATGAGGAAGGGAGGGAGTGTGTTTAAATGCAATGGAGAGAAAAATAGAGAGACGTAAAGAATGAATGTATTTGTAAAAACAGAGAGAGAGAGAGAGAGAGAGAGCAGGAGGAAAAAAAGAGTGGGGTGAGTGGAGGGCAGAGGCGGTCTATTGACACCACAGGTGCCTGCACTTCACATACGGCGTTCCACACAACATTGCCTGTCTAAAAAAAGAAGTTTATTCGTGCGTTTGAGGGAGGGAGAGATAGTGTGTGCGAGTGTGTGTGGATCTTATTATGCACCAGAGAAACACAATATCCCAGCTTATGCATGCGTGCTGCGCCGCTCAAAGAATGCATATGCATGTGTCCATCTTGTTTTTGTTTGTCGTCATCTGAGAGGTTGTGTTTGTGTGTCTGAGCGCGTGGTGGTTCACGATCAGATTAATCAACAGGTTTACCTGGACTCGGTTGCGGCTCAAATACACCCAGAGATACACACTCACACACACACACACACACCAATGCCAACCTGTCTAGCTGCTGAATTGTTAAACAACGTCTGTCTTCCTCCTGAGGGTCATGTATCACTGACACCAGCACTTTCTACACACAAATATGAGCTTGCGTGTTCATGATAGATTATTTCTCATGGGTTGTTTTTTTTTTTTAGACTTCCTCCTTAGCTCTTTGGTTGTGGTCAAGGAAAAACACACCAACAGTAAGTCACTCCATCACTCAGTCAGCAGGCTGCAGCATAGCAGACATTCCTGCTGGGTGTAGTTAGAGAGTTGGAGAATGAGAATGGTTGCCAAAAAATCTGTTGCTCCATAATGTTTTTTTTTTTTTAATGAGGAACCCAAGTTGTAATGTTGCTTGGCAGCGGGATTTGGACGAGCTCGGACCGTAACTGTGCAGCCTCCTTTGCTCTCATGCTTCCTAAAACATGATACGATGCCACTGATCTGGAGGAGGCAGGGGAAAGTTACCTGATGACTCACAGTGGCTCCAATTGCCGTACCTCCACGTCCTCTAAATTATTTCCTGTTTATGTAATGCAGATTTAACATCATGATTCATAAAATATATCTTTAATCTCACAATCTGACTGCCAGAGTAGCACTGCCACTTATCCCCTGGTGCTTTAAAAATGAACTCTAAGCTGATTACTGGTTTCCAATAACTGTGATAACTTCTAACATGTTTTTAATAAAATTACTGATCACATTAGTAATCTGTCACTGTCAGCACCAAGGAAAATGATTTAAAGCAATTAAATGCTAATTCCAAGAATCAAGAGAGCTCTTTGCAGTTAAAACTACAGTCGATAGGGAACAGGTTGCCTGTGATATTAAACAGAGATGGACCTTACATTTTTATTTATGATATGCTTCAGTGGCTCCCAACATTTTATATCTTATATCTGTCTGTTTTTTGCACTTTTTGCACAGATTAAACAAACAAGATACAAAGTAAACATGCTCAACAAATCCTTTCCTTTTTATCATCTTATGCCCCATAGATTAGTCTGTGCTCTCTTGAAGGCACAACGGCTTTCTGTGTGGTTTTATACTAGCACTGAGCTGCACTTTATTACAGGCTTGTCATTGCTCCGAAAACATTTGAGTTTCACTCCTGTTCTGCTGAAGGCTGTGGTGCTCAAGTACTCATCAAAGAGGCAATACACAGATTTTACACATCAAAGTCAGATTATGGTTGATGGGGAGTGTTACTCAGCATGTAAAAACAGTTGTATAAGGTCTTCTGTAGCTCTTAAGGAAGATTTTCATAGTTTAAAAAATGACCCTTGTGATGTCACCAGGGTTATCATAGCTTGAGCTTGGAGAATACAAATTTTTGATGGAAAAGCCCGCTTTACAGACTGGTAAAAGATGGGGGTATTTACCACACAAGTAGGGGTTTAATGAAAGATGCCATAAAGTTGCATTATGGGGGGTGTAGGATCCAGCATTTTTTAGGGCTTGACCTCATGCTAGGGACCAAGAAGTCAGAATATCTCGACCTCTGCTGCTTTGATTTCAACGATTCTGTTTAAAATCTGTTCTTGGTAAATCCCTTAACTTTATGTAAGTAAGATTTTAAATCACTGGAGCGAACCTTTAAATTCAAGAAGAAAATTCGAGTGCATTTGGAGAGATCTGGAGAAGTAAACACAAAGGGTGTGTAAACGTTGAGCGATGGTCAGTACAGAGAAAGGATTTCAGAAAGAGAGAGTATATGCATACTGCAGGATCACGTTCATATAACTTGTCATGTGCTGTAAATTTGGACAGGCAAACAAGCAGGCAGGGAGAGGAACTAAATTAAAACACACCCCTTTCACACTGACCCCCCCCCCCATTTCTCATTCACTCAGCTCTATCTGACGCCGTTCTTCTCCCTCTGCCTCTCCTCTTGGAATCTTCTCTTTTTTCCCCAACAGAAAACATGCAGGGAGGAGAGGAGGAGGAGAAAAGAAGCAACGCGTCGGAGGAGACAAGACAGAGAGGAAGCAGAGAAAGTTGGTAGAGGAGCGAGAGGGCGAGAGGAGAGGAGAGGGGTCGACCAGATGGGAGGAAGGAAGGAAGGAAATGATCTCTATGCGCGCTCAAGTGCGAGATTAAAGGATTCTGCATAAATAAACAAATATATGAATCAAAGCATATAATAAAAAGGGGAATTATAGGCGCGCCACCGCGTTGCGTGGACGCGGACAAGACAGCGGCGGTGCGCGCTGAAACAGCCAAGTCCTGTCTTTCTCTCTCTCTGGATTTTACTCCTCATGTTCCTCAAACTCTCGGTGAGGTTCACTAACTTCTGAAGTCAGTGCCTGAAAAACTTTCCCTCGCCTCGGCCTTCCACCCAGCTTTCTCCCCGGCAAAGAAAAAAGAATCTCCGGGGTGGAAGTGGAGGAAGGAAGAGCGTTTTGTTCCTTCCGAGGAGTCCAGTTCGCCGCAGCCGGGGTTTAGGCGTTGGCACCCGGGCAGGCAGTCCCTCGCCATGGCCGGGGCCAAGCCGGGAGTCCACGCGCTGCAGCTCAAACCCGTGTCCGTCCACGAAGCGCTGAAGAAGGGGGGCAAATTCATCAAATGGGACGAGGTGAGAATGAAATGTTTGAAACTTGGCTTCAGCCCATGCACACAGCTTTCCGACTGCTACATGTGTCGCTGTAACAGCCTGTAAAAGAAAGTGCTCCTGATGTGATCAACTCAAGACGAGGGACAGACAACATGAGACATGACAGCCTGTTTTTTGACAGTAGGCCCAGTGTTGTGAAGTGACACATGAAACTGAAGTATGTGTGTGTGTGGGGGGGGGTGTTTGCGTGTTAGTAAGGTACAGACACTAGATCATGTGTGTATGCAGTGTGCAGGTGTGTGCACGCCGTCACAGTCCCGCAGTGAACACAGAAACCCACTAAAGGTGCGTGTGTGTGTGTGTGTGTGTGTGTGTGTGTGTGTGTGAGTGTGAGTGTGAGTGAATCAGAGAATCTAGTAAAAAATTCCCCTGCATTCGCCAGCAGGCAGGCAGTGCTTGAATGTGTGTGTTGTGCTTTTTGTTGTGTGAATTCTTGTCAAGCCGGTTTTCTTCGGGCTCATGTTCAGTTCAGACGCCCTTCTACACCCTCTTCTCTCCTTCTCTCCTCTGGCGCTCTGTGCTTCTCCCTCTGCTCCCCGGCGGCTTACAGCAGAGAGCACCTGTCCAGCTGGGAATCGGGAGAAGTTGCCTCTGTTTGAAGGGATTTGGGAGCTTTGAGTGCACATAAAGCCGCAAAGCACGCACAGAAATGTCACCTTGATGTATACATTCTTTAACTCATTAACGTGTTTGTTTTACGTTTGTTTTTTAAGTCTCTAATTCCCGTCTGCAGAGGTTTTAATTGTTTCTCCTGCTCTATTTTTCCTGTATAGCAACCCTGGTATGAACTTGCCTGTGTCATTGACCATAATTACTGTGTGTGTGAGTGACAGAGAGAGAGAGAGATAGTGTGTGTGTGTGTGTGTGTGACAGGGTGTAGGGCCATTCTGTAATCTTCTCCACAGAGAAAGTAGGTGTGTGTGTCCATGTGTCTGAGCAGCCATCAATGATTAACTGAGAGGTTGACTGATCCACTCTGACTGCAGGCCTGTGTCTTCCACTTGGAAACCCCTGTCTTGGATTCTCAGCAGAATTGCATACAAGCTGTGTGTGCCAGTGTGCAGATATGAGGTCAGGTGTGGTGTTGACACTTGTACATACAAGGGCCAAGGACCATTAAAAAGAAAAAAAATGGACAACATAAGCAGTTGAAAGTAAACAAGTTATCAGCAACAGAGCCTCACACACACTGTAATAATGACGTGATGTGCCTGCGTGTGAACTGGTGTGTATGTCTGGCCTCCGAATAAGGGTCTTGTCACGCAAACAGTGAATGCCATGTCCTTTTGATTTCCTTTTTTTTCTTTTCTCTCTCTCTCAAACACACACACACACTAACTCTCTCTGTCTCCCTCCATCTCAAAGGGAATTCCCAGGAAATGGTTATGCTGGTGATTAAGTGTGTGAACACTCGAAAACATATGCAAGTTTTCTTCTTGTCTATCTTTCATCCATTCTTCCCCTCTATTTGCCACTTCCCCTTAGAATCAACAAATGTGCTATGGAGAAGAAATGGAGAGAGAAGGAGTTTGTGGGGAAAAAGAGCTAGACTTTAATATGCAGCGTTCCTAAAATAATTAGAGGAACGCTTTTGTGCATGGACTTGATGCTCCATTGTTAAACATCAGTATCATAAATTAGACCATGGTTGAGGTTAAACATGTTTGATCTCCAACTACTCCTCAAATTAACTCCAGGAGCCGTCTCATAATTCAGGATTATGAAGACTGAAACTGAGCAAAATCCCAGAACCCCTTTTAAATCTTTAACAGAAACACTCAACTAAAGTATAAAGTCCTGTTTATTCAGTGCAGTTTATCAGCCAACGCAGTAATCCTGCTTCATGAGACGGGGTTGTCATCTTACATAAACTCTGATAGCGACTGTTGCCAAAATGATGCTTTGTACGTGGCCTGAACTTAGAAGAAACTAAGGCACGTAAAAGTCTGCTCACTTTACCATATTTACATGCCAGATTTCTCTGTTGACTTGGGAAAAAACCTATATTGTTATTAAGTTGATAATAAGATGTCGTCTGGACTCTGGCATTGTCTCTGTACGCCCAGGTAGTGCTGAAAGAATTAATTAATAACTTGAGGAATTAAATTGACCATCAACAACTTTTATAATTGGTTAATCATTTAAGATATTTATCAAGGTGCAATGCTAAACAGACCCTGGTTCCAGTCTCACAAATGTGAGAATCAGCTGCCTTTCAGTTCTCTGAATATCTTTTGAGTTTTGCGCTTTAAGATGAGAAAACAAGCAAGCAACAAGCTCTGTTCTGACATTTTATGGACTAAACAGTTAATTTAGTAACTTAGAAAGTGCTCTGCATCCCCCATTAGTCCTCTTTCTGTCCCAAAAAAACCCTGTTTGTCCCCAATGTGTCAGATGCTCATTCAAGAAACAGCATTTTTTCCTGTTTCATCCTGTAAGGCACCCGAGTGGATTTCCTGCTAAAATCATGATGTAAATATGGTGTTAAGGAAAGTTAATTAAGTATCAGTCTTTTTTGCTCACTTTAATCATGATCATTCATTTAAAATCAACCAATCAATGACTGACTCGTAGCTAAAGCAAAGTACTTTTTAATTTAAAAGTAGATCTCTTGCTGCTGGGGTCCGTCCAAACACTTAAGCATACCATTATCTCAGTAATGAGAGAGCTTGTTGCAGTTGAACAGCGAAATGTTGACGTTATTTTTCTTTTATTTAACCTTCATTTAAACAAAAAGAGGGACCTGTCGAGCAGTTATCATACAGAGATGTAGGAAATTAATTTACAACTTTCACATGTGAAGCAAAGAGCTGAAACAGTCAGATTCTCCAGGAAGCAGCTTTTGAATGTGACTGGTATGAAGGCAGTGTTTCCAAATGAAGTTTGCTTTGTAAATTATTCCAAATCTGTGGTGTGTAGCACGAAAATATGTTTTTTTTCCCCAACTTCAGAAAAGACTCTGGGGACACTGAAGGTTATCCATTTCAAATTAAGCATGACTCAGTCTGGCTCTGTTGTGCAGGAAACGAATACAATTTAGCCGATTTGTGCTACAAAAATAATTAAACAACTAGTAGCAGTTGGTTTTGTTTCCACAGGGAGTTGTTTAGATGTTATTGAGGTTACTATTTCAGATCTTTTGATTACCTGGCCGTATGATATATCCAGCTGTGATCTAACTCGTCGACTCAGAGCAGTGTTTGTGGAAGTTTGAAGTTGGATCTGAGAAGTGAATGGTCTAATGGGGACAGAGTGGTTATTTTAGTGTCTGTCTGCGCTCTATTAGGAAAGTTGACCAATGGGCTACTGTCCCAAAAACTTGGCGTTTTCCTTTAAGGACTTAGCGAAGTGAGAAAAGAATTAGGACAGACACACACAGACCAGAAAGTGCCCGAGGGCAGTGCAGTTTGTTTACATGAAAACCCCACTTTTGACCCCATCCCTCTCTTTCCCCCCCCTCCTCATCACTGTGTCCTTCTTTCCCACATGGCTCACATCTTCATCTTTTCTATCTCTTTTCCTAGTGCCACTTCAATCTTTTGGTCTCACAACAAAACCTCTGTTTCTCAATGGCTTTGGGAATTCTACTGTAGGCCCATCAAATGACACGCACACACACACACCACACACACACACACACACACACACACACACACACACACACACACACACACACACACACACACACACACTTACACACACACACACACACACACACACACACACACACACACACACACACACACACACACACACACACACACACTGACTCATGCAGGGGGGAGGAGGAGGAATGCATTCCAAATTGACCCTCTTTCGTCTGCGCTTCGGCTTGTGTACACATGTGCGCTCCTATGCGTGTGTGCGTGTGTGGTTGTTTTGTTCTGGGTGTGTGTTTCACGTTGAATGACTTCCTGTTCGAGCTTGTTGTAAGGCTCCAGAGCCAAGCCATTTTCCTTCTCTCTCCCTCCCTCTGCCTTTGCCTCAGCCGCTGCTGCTGCTCCGCCCTCTGCAGCCCGGCCACAATTCAATTTAGACAAATTCCAACTGGAATTCAGTTAAAATTCCTCCTAAACAACCAATTAAACAAACACAGACAGACAGTTTGTCTACAGAGCAGCTTGGCTCTCTGTCAGCGTGCCATGGAGCGCCTTGATATGGATCTTAAAAGTACACAGAGGTCAAATAAATAATCATCTCAACACATAACACTATCTTTTGCCTCCTTTTGTGGAGTGGTTGCAGGTTTCATTCCACTGGATTATATCAATATTGTAAACCTGGTATTCAAATACACTTCTGCTGCACCACTTCCCTGTACGTTATGTGCCTGGGCATGTATATTCTTTCAAACCAAGCACTGTATGTGCACCTGTTTTTGAATTTAGAAAAACAAAAGGAGACTTAATCTCAGTGTGCAAAAACTCCTATGTGTTTTCCTTGGTCAGAACTGTGTGAGAAAGGTGCACATTTCTTTCCACACTTCTTTTGTTTATATTCACATTCACAAGAAAACCAGGGCTTGCAAACAAAGTCGCATGGGATCACAAGTGGTCCATAAATTGGACAGAGTTTCGGGAATGTGACATCCTTTTGAGGTTAGGGGATTTGGGTCCACTTCAAATCCCTGTAACTTGAGCAAAACATGATGGGCCATAAAATGTTGCATTTCAGGGTTTGTTTCCTGCAATTTGGCAGGGATTATTTTTGTAAGATCCTATGGGCCGCGCGGCAGTTCTCTTAGAGGATCTCACAACTTAAAATCTTGGCAACAGCTGAGGACAGTTTAAAACTGTTATTGTTTATCTGTGCTGTGTTGTCAAACCAGACTGACAGCAGACACTTGTTCCCCACTCATATGTATCCTGACAAGGCACTTTTGGATCTGTTTTAATCATCCCCATCTAATCTGAGGATGAAGTGTGTTCATGTGTTGACTGACAGCTGTGAGTTCCCACCCA